CGGAGCTGAACACGCTCAAAACATCTGCAGAAATATTTCAACCATCATTTATACAGTGATACAGATACACGAAGTGAGCGGGTCTCTGCAAACCTGGAGACTGAAAACATGCACAGAGGAAATGATTACTTTTTAAATAAAAAATGTTGAACCCCAAAACAAAGTTGAAGAACTATTAACTTCCTATTTTAGAATTTAAATTCTATTCAGTTTATTTCTATAGCTCCAATTCACATCATGTCATCTCAGGTCACTTTCCAGTTCACCAGATCATCCAGTCAGACTGATTTAAAGTTTTCTATCTAAGGAAAACCAGCTGATTGCATCGACTCATTGATTCTTCAGCAATCCCTCACACTAAGCATGCTTGTTGCAACAGTGGAGAGGAAAAACTCCCTTTTAACATAAGCATTTAACATTAGTTTTTGATAATTGCTATTATTTCATCCAAATGAAAAATGGAGAACAGATAAGCAGATCATGGCTTGTCTACAGTGAAAAGAAGGACTGGGTTATTTACTTTGGCCTTTTTGGAAACACAGGAAGGAGCAATCAGCTAAGTGAGCTTAGTGCTTGGAAAAAATCTTTCATTCCTTTAGAGACAGCATGAAAAGTCAGCTGAGTACAAAACATAGAGAGGAAAACAAGAAGAAAAGGGACAAGAAGAGAGGGACACAACCTAGAACAGATAATGGATGTCTATTGGACGCTGGCGTTGGCTGTTCGCCGCTTCTCTGCAAATCCGTCAAAATCTGTCCTTTTCTGCAAAATCCATCCTACTGTACCGTATTCTGGGAACTCAGTTACTACAGTAAGAGACAGATTATTTTGTAGTACACACCGAATTTGTGTGGTACCCTGGACTTACCTGTCACTACGCTGGACACTGCTTGCTAAGTGAATCGTCCTTTTCTCTGGGCTTCAAATCCCCCAATCCTGCTGCTTCCTTTTGTTTCCATCAAACTGGATTATTCCTACGGAGATGTCTAAGTGCTTCATGCCCTCCCTGGATTATCTCTGCACGTCGGCCTGTTAGCCCGTGGCAACTTGTTTGGGTTGGCTACGCTAACAGAGTTAGCCGGAGCAACTCTTCTGTTTACAGAGTCCTATCAGCACCATCAGTCTTCATAAATCTTCCAGTGCCTCCGCCTTCCAGCGGAGGTCTGTGAATGGAACACCACCTCTGTTGAAGCTGTGGATCATCCTTCTGGGTATGGCTTTTTTCCACCGCTGCTCACCTGGATCCTGGCTAACTGTTAGCACCGGCACACCATCACGCCACTTGTTGCCCATCGACACCACGATACAACCACTTCGGATTCTCAACATCAACAGAGCTCCATTGGATCTTCCACGTCGACCCCGTTACATCCACCGGGGATCCGGGCGCCGCCTTGTAATGTCCAAACGCGGTGACCACAGCTCCATCGCATCCTTCTGGTCGGCATCACGTCCTGTCGCGCAACAGGTACGTCACCATCTGCGTCATCTGAGCGCCGCTATGCCTACCTCAGATATGGCTGAGTTGGACCGGCGAACTGGAAGACCTGGAGTGGATTTCAGCGTTCTCCGCTCTCTGCATAAACTGGACTCAAATTCCCACATCACAATGGAACAGCTTAATGTGCAGTCACTGTCAAAGAAATCCGGATCCATCCACGATCACATTCTGGACAAAGAAATAGACATTCTCTGCCTCACAGAGACTTGGCAACAGCCCGGTGTCTACAGCACCCTGAATGAGGCCTGCCCACAAGGGTACTCATACCTGGACAAAGCCTGCACAACTGGGCGGGGTGGGGGCCTTGCTGTTTTATTTCGCAGCTACTTTGCAGTGTCCCTCCTGTCTGTACCCGGTGCTTCCTCCTTTGAAAGCCTTGTTTTTAAATGCAATAATCCTTTCTCTGCTACAGTAGCTGTCATATATCGCCCCCCTAAACCACAACCAACTTTCATTTCTGACATTCATCAGTTCCTAATCTCTCTCTGCACAGCACACTCAAATATTCTTGTAATTGGTGATCTCAATATACACATGGACTCACACACTTCCCGTCTAGCTGCCGAATTCAAACAGGTTTTGGACTGTCTAAATCTTCAACAGCTGACAGATGGCCCCACCCACAGCAAAGGGCATACTCTGGACCTTGTTATAACTGACTCCCTTCCACTCACCAGCATCAACATATACGATGTTGGTGTCTCAGATCACCTGGCAGTTACATTTAGACTCCCAATAACCTTTTTCACCAAACCAAAACGCCATATCACTTTCAGAAACATCAAAAACATTGATTCCTCATCCTTCAGCTCACATCTTCAGCATCTTTCCCCCTCTCCACTCTCATCAGCCAGTGACTTAATGGACTTCTACAACACAAGCCTCAACTCCATCCTGGATACTCATGCTCCTGTAATAACCCGGACTGTCACATTCACACGTTCCGCTCCTTGGTTCACCAAAGAGCTAAGGCAAATGAAGAGGTCTGGCCGTGTCCTGGAGCGGGCATATAAAACATCTGGCCTGACGGTGCATAAATTGGCCTACCGGGAACATCGCAGAAATTATGCAACAGCCCTCTCCAAGGCCAGGTCCAATTACTACTCCTCGCTCATCAACAATAACCCAGGTAATTCCAGAAAACTCTTTTCCACAATCAGCCATATTCTCAAACCACAGGTCTCCTCATTCTACAACCACACAGATATAAACTGCAACCGGTTTCTGGACTTCTTCATATCAAAAATAGACAGCATCCGCTCTTCACTTTCACCTTCAAACAGCACCACTATTGATACCCCTGAGACATCTCCCACACAACTCCTATCACACTTCTCTCTGCCAACGCAGCAGGAGGTCGAGAACATCATCCGCAAATCTAAATCATCCACCTGCTCTTTAGATCCCCTCCCATCCCCTCTGCTCAAAACTCACCATCAATCCATTAGTCATCTCATAACCAAAATAATAGCCAGTTCCCTGGAAACGGGTACCGTCCCATCTACCCTTAAAACTGCCCTCATTAAACCCCTCCTAAAAAAACCCACCTTGGACCCTGAACCTCTGTCAAACTACAGACCCATTTCAAACCTCCCATTCATCTCCAAACTCCTAGAAAAAGTTGTTTCCACCCAGCTCCACAACCACCTTAAATGCAATAATCTGTATGAAAAATTCCAATCTGGTTTTCGCCCCTCCCACAGCACAGAAACAGCTCTCATCAGAGTCACCAGCGATCTGCTGATGGCCTCTGATTCCGGTTTCACGTCCCTCCTCATTCTTCTTGACCTGTCTGCTGCGTTTGACACAGTAGATCACCACATCCTCCTCCACCGCCTCCAGCATTTCATTGGTCTCTCTGGCACTGCCCTCCACTGGTTTCACTCCTACCTCACTGACAGGACCGAGTACGTGGCCCTGGGGGAGGCAAAATCCAGACCTCACACTGTCACCTGTGGGGTCCCCCAGGGCTCCGTGCTCGGCCCTACCCTGTTCACCATCTACATGCTCCCCCTTAGTTGTGTCGTCGGCAGGCATGGGGTCAACTTCCATTGCTATGCTGACGACACACAACTTTACATTAAAATGACTCCTCCCAGCTCCCCCGCCAACTCTGTCACCCGCCTCAGCTCCTGCCTGGAGGATATAAAGGCGTGGATGAGTCAAAACTTCCTGCAGCTTAATGCCTCAAAAACAGAGGCCATCCAAACTGGTACTCCTCATCAACTCCGTTCCTCTCCTCTCACCTCTGTTTCATTCTGTGGTCATACCATTCCCCTCTCTCCCTCTGTTACAAGCCTTGGGGTCAAGCTTGACCCCCACCTCTCCTTTGACAATCATGTCACCTCCATCTGCAAAACGTCCTTCTTTCACCTCCGTAATATCTCTAAACTCCGTCCCTCCCTATCCCTCCCTGCTGCAGAGAAGCTCGTCCACGCCTTCGTCTCCTCCAGGCTGGATTACTGCAACGCTCTCCTCGTCGGGATCTCTGGCAGGAGCCTTCAGAAGCTCCAGTATGTACAGAACAGCGCTGCCAGGGTCCTGATGAGGGTGAGGAAACACCAGCACATCACTCCCATCCTTCACACTTTACACTGGCTGCCCATTCACGCCCGTATAGAGTACAAGATTCTTCTGCACACCCATCACTGTGTGCACGGTGCGGCCCCCATGTATCTCACTGAACTGCTCACACCACACACCTCTTCCCGGACCCGGTCAGGCCAACAGCACCGTCTGGCCCCACCCAGGACACGGCTAAAAACAATGGGCGACAGGGCCTTCGAAGCTGCAGCTCCCCGTCTGTGGAATGCCCTCCCAGACCACCTTAGGGCCCCACAGACGGTGGATTGTTTTAAGAAAGGACTAAAAACTTTCCTTTTTAGAAATTCCTACAATTGTTGATTTTAGATTTTTTTTAATAGGCTACGTATGCCTTTTAATGTATTGATTATAATGACTGTCTTTTTACTCTGTTTTTAATGTTATGGTCTTTTAAACTTGTTTTGTAGCACTTTGAGATTTGAAATCAAATGTAAAGTGCATGATAAATAAAATTCATTATTATTATTATTATTCTATTCTATTAACATTTCTCTATATGTAGAATGGGGCTGTTTGATGTCTTCTCCATTCAGAGGGGCCCCCTGCCTGTCTCTGCCCAGGGCCCCACATTTCCTAAATCCGCCCCTGTTTACTATCATTAAGGAGCAAACAGTTCGGTCATAAATTAAAGCCAACATTATTATAGCCGCTCTATTGTAGTTCTCATATCATCCAGCAGATGTCGCCATTTAAAAGGATCAAATGTTTTGAACCTGGTCTCCAGTTTTGTTAATCTGTGTTTAATGGTTTCACTGGTTCCCAGTTCCCCCAAATTACCACCACTATTCCAGAACCATCAAAGCAGTGGAACAACCATTCAGTAATAAATTTGGACCGGAACCCGCCCATAAGACCCCCCTCCCCCCTCCATGACTGACTGTCTGATTTCGGAGGTTCCCCAAACGCATCATGAGCAGAGGAAGCACGCGCAGTGGGGCTTGGTGGGCATAAACGGGTCCGGAGCAGCCTGCTGGGACAAGTTTAGAACCGAACCGAACCGGAACCTTAAACTGTGTCTGAGAAGAGAACCGGGAAGAGGAGCGGCTGATGGTGGGCAGAGGAGAGGAGGAGGCGGCAGGAGGTGAGTCCCGTTAAACGGAGAGGCTTTCAGCTATTTGTTCACTTCAGGAGGAACTTTTCTACCGGAAGTTCTCCTTTAAATGCCGTGACCTTTCAACCCGCTGCTGGAGGAACCCAGGAGGGTTTAGTTTATCCCACAGGAGAGCAGAGGGACCAACACGGGGTCCAAACGGTTCACCTGGTTCGGTTCTGGAGCTGAACGGAACCTTTGAACGAGACAGAGGGGGGAAGGTTTTCCATGTAGCACCCTGAACCTTATTGGTGAAAAGAAGGAAAGTAACGGAAAGTTGGAGCAGAAAGTGAAGGTTCTGATGGTCCAGTTGGTCTCAGCAGAACCGTCCAGAGCGGTTCTTAGCAGCCTTTGATCTTTGGGTCAGAGGTGCCGCCGTTTCTAAGAGTTTATCCCAGAGAAGCAGAAAAACTAAACGTTCTGGTCCTGCAGAGGGGATGTGATCCAGCAGAACCTGAGAGGTCTGGCTCTAATACTTTATTGGACCGCCTTTAGCTTTGCTTACTGCAGGCATTCGCCCTAACCCTACGGCATTGTTTCGATCAGCTTCGATAAGATCTTGCATTGATGATGGTAGAGTCTGACCGCTGAGCAAAGCCCTCTCTAGCACATCCCAAAGATTCTCCATGGGGTTGAGGTCTGGACTCTGTGGGGGCCAATGGGCTCTATGCACAGCTCCACTACTTCCTGAATTTAAAGCAGCTCCTTTGTTTCCTGTCTTTCATGATTGGATGCACTGATTAATCCAAGTGTGTATGACCTAAGTAACTGGCCAGACACACCTGGATTAATCAGTTCGTCCAGTAATGAAAGACAGGAAACAAAGGAGCTGCTTTAAATTCAGGAAGTAGTGGAGCTGTGCATAGAGCCCATCCATGTGTGAAAATGATGAGTCATGCTCCTGTAGTGAACTAATACTGCACCATGAATAGAATATAGTGGATAAATGTCTCACAATGAATATATTCATGTTATAATGGTTAAATGGTGCGCTTCAACATGTATGTGCATAGAGGTGAGTATCTGTCTCCGCCAGTCACGTGACATATGTTGCTAAGACGCCATTTTTGGTGGAAAAGGCGTAGTGTAAACAACCGCAGCATAGCTAAACGAAGGACTAAAGGATTGAGTTTGTTTCTCTGACTATATGGAAAAAAGTAAGCAGAATGCGAAATTACCGGACAGGTGTCGTGCCAAGGTAGTTATTCCTGCGAAAATTTGTATCCCCTCGTCGGGAGCGCGCACGGAGTAGGAAGAACAACCCGACTTAACTCCGCTTCAATTCCAACGTGCAGAACTTGAAATTTGAAAGGTTTTACGTGTATGAAAGTTGAGCTTTAATGTTTTATTCTTTATTTCACGTGTTATAGCAGAATATCGCCAGTGATATTGATTTAAAACTAATAATAAAACACAAACGTTTGCTTGAAAGCTGGTCGCTGACAGCAGTGTCTACTCCTCCCTCTGAAAGCAAACAGATCCTTGTTCTTTTCCACACGTTCATTATAAAAAATCTCTAATTGTTTCACAGTGTCCAAATGTTCTCATCCCATTGAAAACTGTTGTAAACCATATACTTGTAATACAAATGAAATAGAAAATGGAGTGTACGTGTAATCATTAAAGACTATATGCAGAAGGAAATAATTTTTTCCTGGTTGAAATTTAGTACTTAAATCTATATTTGTGTTTATAGTAACGTACAATTTATCTATGTGTTACTATCCTTAATAAACAGTTTGTCTTCTAACATCAGCCGTTTTATTTCATCCCATTTTGCCACAATTGGCAATATGGGATAAAATAAAACCTGCTGTAATCTGTTCCCCCTGTCTCAATCAGACAAAAAAGGCCCCAGCTTTTTCATTTTTGGCTTATAAGCATCTTTTATGGTGCAAAAAATGAAAACGCTGGGACCTTTTTGGCCTGATTTAGACAGGGGGGAACAGATTATAGCAGGTGGCCTGCTATAATTTGTTCCCCCTGTCTAAATCAGGCAAAAAATGCCCCAGCTTTTTCATTTTTGGCTTAAAAATATCTTTTATGACAACAACTAACTCCTGAAACTTTGGAGTTGATTGACCTTTATTTCTTAAAGTTATAAGGGGGGAACAAATTATAGCAGGCCACCTGCTATAATCTGTTCCCCCTGTCTCAATCAGACAAAAAAGGCCCCAACTTTTTCATTTTTGGCTTATAAGCATCTTTTATGATGACAATTTATTCCTGAAACTTTGGATGTGATGGACCTTTATTTCTTAAAGTTATAAGGGGGGAACAAATTATAGCAGGCCACCTGCTGTAATATGTTCCCCCTGTCTAAATCAAGCCAAAAATGTCCCAGCTTTTTCATTTTTGCATCAAAAAAGATGCTTATAAGCCAAAAATGAAAAAGCTGGGGCCTTTTTTGCCGGATTTAGACAGGGGGGAACAGATTATAGCAGGTGGCCTGCTATAATTTGTTCCCCCCTTATAACTTTAAGAAATAAAGGTCAATCAACTCCAAAGTTTCAGGAGTTAGTTGTCATCATAAAAGATGTTTAAAAGCCAAAAATAAAAAAGATGGGGCCTTTTTTTGCCTGATTTAGACAGGGGGAACAGATTACAGCAGGTTTTATTTCATCCCATATTGCCAGTTCTGGCAAAATGGGATGAAATAAAACGGCTGATGTTAGAAGATAAACTGTTTATTAAGGATAGTAACACATAGATAAATTGTACGTTACTATAAACACAGATATAGATTTAAGTACTAAATTTCAACCAGGAAAAAATTATTTCCTTCTGCATATAGTCTTTAATGATTACACGTGCACTCCATTTTCTATTTCATTTTTATTCCAAGTATATGGTTTACAACAGTTTTCAATGGGATGAGAACATTTGGACACTGTGAAACAATTAGAGATTTTTTATAATGAACGTGTGGAAAAGAACAAGGATCTGTTTGCTTTCAGAGGGAGGAGTAGACACTGCTGTCAGCGACCAGCTTTCAAGCAAACGTTTGTGTTTTATTATTAGTTTTAAATCAATATCACTGGCGATATTCTGCTATAACACGTGAAATAAAGAATAAAACATTAAAGCTCAACTTTCATACACGTAAAACCTTTCAAATTTCAAGTTCTGCACGTTGGAATTGAAGCGGAGTTAAGTTGGGTTGTTCTTCCTCCTCCGTGCGCGCTCCCGACGAGGGGATACAAATTTTCGCAGGAATAACTACCTTGGCACGACACCGGGACTGGCAGCCTCTCACACAACACGATCGTGTCATTTCTGGTAAATAATTGTGCCGAAAGAACAGCCGCGTGTGGGTTATCTCGACTTTCCACCTATTATGGTGGTTTTCCCACGATGCACCGCGCCCGAGGTAAACAATTGACGTCACCTGGCGCAGACCGATTGGCATGAGTGTTGCGATTCGATACATGTCGCAATTTGGGTCACGATACGATATTATCACGATGTTGCAGTATTGCTATATATTGCTATATTTTCTCCAGCTATCAAAATCAAATGATGAGATAAAACAGCAAGTGCTGTATATTTTCATCAGAAAATATTGAGTAGGTTTTATTATCCATGTTGTTTGGGGTTTTCTTCCACTGTGACTGCCTCAAATACAGATTTGGTGCTGCACGTACAGTTAAAGGGCTCCACAGCGCTTTCTGCCAGAGTGGTGGTGCAGAGGTAGCCCATTTTCCCATCAATGTTTTATGTAACCATTTTTTTTTTTTTTTTTTTGAAAATCGATACTAAGAAGTGAAAGATCGATATTATATTGGGCAGCCGAATATCACGATATATCGCCAAAACGATTATTTCCCACACCCCTATATGTGCATGGCAGTTTGAAGGTAGAGATAAGATTAGGAGGGATGAAGAGTGGTGATGGAAAGAATCCAAGGCTTGGATGTTGAGTTGTATGCATTGGGAAAACCCAATGATGAGTTATTTTGACATATCAATGTTAAACAACAAAGTTATGCTGATGTGTGAAGTTTTTAATGAAACTACAATGTGTATCACCATGGCCTTCAAAGGGGCAAGGCTTTGATTAAAATATATAAATTGTACTTTGGGGGGTTTCCACCGGGGGATAAAAGATATTGTGGAAAAGTATCTAAAATTACGAGGAGCTCAGGGGGGAATGAATATAAGCGGGACTGTTTCTGTGTGATATCCGGATGTGCACTGGTGAACATCTTGGGTGGTTGACTTGTGCAATAAACCACTCTGGACCTGACCCTGCCGCCTCTGTCTGTTTTTGACCAATTGTTAGAAGATTTTTTAACTGCTTTTGAAGAACTTAGAATTTTTATAAGATTTAGCATAAATTTTTACGTCGTTTGGAGGACATTCCACGACACTCCCTGAACCAGTCGTTCACAATCTCAGCCCGATGAATCCTGCATTGTCATCTTGGAACATGCCATCAGGGCAGAAACAGTCCATTGATGGAATAACCTGGTCATTCAGGATATTCAGGCAGTCAGTTGCTGTTACTGTTGCTGAACCTAGACCTGAGCAACCGCAGCAACCCCAGATCATAACCCCGCCCCCACAGGCTTGTACAGTAGGCACTAGGCATGGTGGGTGCATCACTTCACCTGCCTCTCTTCTTACCCTGATCCGCCCATCACTCTGGAACAATCTGGACTCATCAGACCACCTGACCTTCTTCCATTGCTCCACAGTCCAATCTTTATGCTCCCTGCAGATTGAAGCCTTTTGCTACAGATCCTCCTCCTAACTGAGCTGATGTTTGGTTTCTTTCAGGTCAGAACTTCTGTGATCAACATGGAGACGGCTGGATATCCAGTAGACATCCAGGCTCAGCAGGTAACATTTACAGAACCGCCGCCGGTTGCCGTGGGAACCAAGCGGCGTGACATCTTCTCCCGTGTCTCCTCAGTGCAGCACGTGTGACGGCGCCTCGGCCTCCTGCTGGTGCGTGGACTGTAGAGAAGCTCTGTGTGACGACTGCTTGGCGGCTCATCGCAGGGTCACCCTGACCCGATCCCACCGCGTCCTGAACCACCAGCCTGACGGTCAGATCTGATTGCATGTCGACCAGCAGAGCCTCCTGATGCCGTTGAGTCAGGAGGCTCTGCTGGGGATCAGGTTTATTTTACTGATTCAGAATTTAGATTAAAGTTAGAAAAGGCTCAGAAATCCAACTTCTATTCAATAAATCCGCTTCTGTTAACACCAGAACTCCCACAGCCGTCATTTTAATGGTTCTGAGATTTTAAAGAACTATATTTAAAATGAAACTTCTGTTGCTCATATTAATTGATTTTTTCTGTTTCTATATTTCCTTCATTTCCACGTAGTTTTTTTTAAATAAACTAAAAACGTAAAAAATAAATATGGTTAATTTTACCTCGATCTACAGCAGCTGTCATTATGACGGCTGTATTAGTTGCATTGTAAATTCTTCCCGCGGATGATTGATGTTCGTTTCCGTTGCCTAGCAACCAACATTCTACCTTGAACTCTTTGGCTAATATGGGAAAAAAATGTATTTCAGAAGAAACCTAACAGCGAAACAGGCTTTAAAAAATGCTTCAAAATACAGGTGCTGGTCATAAAATTAGAATATCATGAAAAAGTAGATTGATTTCAGTAATTCCATTTAAAAAGTGAAACTTGTATATTATATTCATACATTACATACAAACTCATATATTTCAGATGTTTATTTTGTTTAATTTTGATGATTACAAATGACAACAAATGAAAATCTCAAATTCATCATATCAGAAAATTAGAATATTACTGAAGACCAATAAAAACAAAGGATTTATAGAAATGTTGGCCAACTGAAAAGTATGAACATGAAAAGTATGAGCATGTACAGCACTCAGTATTTAGTTGGGCCTCCTTTGGCCTGTATTACTGCAGCAATGCGGCGTGGCATGGAGTCGATCAGTCTGTGGCACTGCTCAGGTGTTATGATAGCCCAGGTTGCTCTAATAGTGGCTTTTAGCTCTTCTGAATTGTTGGGTCTGGTGTATTGCATCTTCTTCTTCACAATACCCCATAGATTTTCTATGGGGTTAAGGTCAGGAGAGTTTGCTGGCCAATTAAGAACAGGGATACCATGGTCCTTCAACCAGGTACTGGTAGCTTTGGCACTGTGTGCTGGTGCCAAGTCCTGTTGGAAAATGAAATCTGCATCTCCAAAAAGTTGGTCAGCTGCAGGAAGCATGAAGTGCTCTAAAACTTCCTGGTATGTGGCTGCGTTGACCCTGGACCTCAGAAAACACAATGGACCAACACCAGCAGATGACATGGCACCCCAAACCATCACTGACTGTGGAAACTTTACACTGGACTTCAAGCAACGTGGATGAAGTGCCTCTCTTCTTTTCCTCCAGACTCTGGGACCTTGATTTCCAAAGGAAATGCAAAATTTACTTTCATCAGAGAACATGACTTTGGACCACTCACCAGCAGTCCAGTCCTGTTTCTCTTTAGCCCAGGCAAGACGCTTCTGACGCTGTCTGTGGTTCAAGAGTGGCTTGACACAAGGAATGCGACAGCAGAAACCCATGTCTTTCATACGTCTGTGTGTGGTGGTTCTTGAAGCACTCACTCCAGCTGCAGTCCACTCTTTGTGAATCTCCCCCACATTTTTGAAGGGGTTTTGTTTCACAATCCTCTCCAGGGTGCGGTTATCTCTCTTGCTTGTACACTTTTTTCGACCACATCTTTTCCTTCCCTTCGCCTCTCTATTAATGTGCTTGGACACTGAGCTCTGTGAACAGCCAGCCTCTTTAGCGATGACCTTTTGTGTCTTGCCCTCCTTGTGCAAGGTGTCGATGGTCGTCTTTTGGACAACTGTCAAGTCAGCAGTCTTCCCCATGATTGTGTAGCCTATAGAACTAGACTGAAAGACCATTTAAAGGCTTTTGCAGGTGGTTTGAGTTAATTAGCTGATTAGAGTGTGGCACCAGGGGCCATCAATTTTGAACCTTTTCACAATATTCTAATTTTCTGATATGATGAATTTGAGATTTTCATTTGTTGTCATTTGTAATCATCAAAATTAAACAAAATAAACATCTGAAATATATGAGTTTGTATGTAATGTATGAACATAATATACAAGTTTCACTTTTTAAATGGAATTACTGAAATCAATCTACTTTTTCATGATATTCTAATTTTATGACCAGCACCTGTATGGATGATAGCGATTCAGGCAGAGGGGGAGAGACCGGTGATTAGGACTGGGGGGGGAAGCGGCTCAGAGAGCGAGTCAGACGATGATCAACGCAGACGCATCAGTCACCCATCAGACGATAGTAAAAGTTATGTTCAAGCACTGCCAACACCTAGAGCAACTTTGGCGAAGCACAGAAAACAGCGGCAGGAGCTTCAGGGCTGCACAAAAAACGCTCATAAATTGTCATAAATATGAAAAGGTGTTTTGGGGGAAATGTTTGCGAGGAATCAATCAATTTCTGTAAATAAAACTGTGATTTCAAACTTTGAACCTGTGTAGTAAAACAGTCTTAATCTACAGGTTTATTTTTGATATAAATTTAGAACACAAATAATAATAATAGCAGACAATACAACCTTAGAAAAATATATATTAGATTTTTTTTAAGGTTTACATATCCATAATGGGTTTATATCACACACTAGAACCATTTCAGTTGATGACATCATCACTACTCATGCGTTCCATTGAGTAATATGTCAGCCGTCAAACTGATGGCCAGTGGGAGTTCTAGTAGGATCAGAACTCCTAGCGTTAAGGACCGGGTTCTCTGTCGTCTCTCCGCGTTGCCGGATGATGATGATGATGATGATGATGATTTCTGTTCGTCCTCCTCAGATCCCAGGGTCATTTCTCCCACCAAGTTCTGCAGAATCCACCCATCTGAGGAGCTGAAGCTGTTCTGCTTCACCTGCTGCCAGCTCACCTGCAGAGACTGTCAGCTGGCCGACCACAAGAACCACAGGTGCTCAGTGTCTCTGTGACGTCCTCATTAAAGGGTCAGAGGCGAGGGCTGTGGGGTGGGGGCCGCACTGGGACCAGAATGATGAAAAAGGGGTCCCTATGTCCTCCAGCAGTCTAAGCCTATAGCAGCAGAACTATAGAGATAGATCAGGATAACCTGAGCCACTCTAACTAGAAGCTTTATCAAAAAGGAAAGTTTTAAGCCTAGCCTTAAAAGTAGACAGGGTGTCTGCCTCACGGACTAAAACTGGTAGTTGGTTCCACAGGAGAGGAGCCTGATAACTAAAAGATCTGCCTCCCATTCTACTTTTAGAAATTCTAGGAACCACTAGTAAACCTGCAGATTGAGAGCGAAGTGCTCTGTTAGGAACATCAGGAACAATCAGATCTCTGATATCAGATGGAGCTTGGCCATTTAAGGCTTTATATGTGAGAAGGAGGATTTTAAATTCTATTCTGGATTTAACAGGAAGCCAATGAAGAGAAGCCAGGATACACAGGTTAGATAGTGACGACTGGAGCTCACCCTGATCCCTGCTGCTCTGTTCAGGTTCGACTTTGTCAGCAAAGCTGTGGAGAGAGTGAAGAAGCAGCTGGACGCCTGCATGAAGCCCATCAAGGCCCAGATAGACGTTTCCAGGAGGAGCCTGCAGGACATGGAGATCAGGTACAGATGTGGTGTGGTTCTCCTCCTCCCTGCAGGAGCCTAAAGCATGCTTTATGCAGAGAGTTTGTGTGATTTCAGGCCTTTAACATGGTTTCTTTTGTCAGAGGATGTGGGCGGGGCCACGAGGAAAGGCCATTAAAGCCGAACAGGCATCTGACATCCCTCTCTGTTTATTACCAACTGGTGGCCTGCGTCTTTTACTGATTAATTAAAAATTTAAAGCCCACATTATATTATTGTTCTTCTGGACAAGATTAATGCCAGAACGAATGGGAGCTTCAGGCTTCATTTAATAACGCTACGTTCACATCGAACGCGTTTTCAGCAGCAAAGCTTCTGCAGCTTCATCTCTGATGCTTGTCCTCATTAAGGTGAGAAGGCAAATAAAGCAAAGCTGCTCTGGCATTGAACACAGGAGCATCAGACGCTTCTTTACTGGACGTCTGACCTGAATGAGGATCAGAGATGAAGCAGCAGGAGCTTCCTTGGTGCGCCAATGACGTGCGGTCTGAACGTAGCATTACACTGTAAAAAATCAGAATCTAAATAAATCATTTCAGCTCCCAGATCAGCTTCTCTGATTGGTTGATGCGGCGCGTCCGGCAGCTAAAGTTCTATTTTTCCAGCTCCAGCAGCTGCTGCTGGTGAAGCTCGTCAGAAGCTCAGGAGGTTCTGCTCAGACGCGCTGCAGAACCTTTTGCTGCGTCTTGAGGCGCATCAACCATCGACTCTCCCACTGGGCGCGGTTTGAACGTAGCATAAGGGTCTTTGTTCACCTCCAGGCTATCAGTCAGAACCAGAACCTACTGGTTTATGTGTCTGTTGCATAAAATGGGCTTATTTTAACTGAACCGCAGTTCAGTTTATTTTCTTATGCTGCGTTGACACCTGAAGCAGCGCAGGCAGCAGGAGCAGCTAGTTTAGATGCAAAGTCCATGGTTGACGCTCAGCAAACGACCCGCAGTGCGTTTGGGCTGCAGGAGCAGCGAGTCATGAGCGTCTGAGCATCTGAGGCGCGGAACACGCTGCAAACGCAGCAGCTGCTGGAGTTGGAAACATTGACCTTTAGCCGCTAAATCAACCAATCAGAGAAGCTGATCTGGGAGCTGGCAGGGAGTCAGACACAGCGCTGCTGATGCGGAGCGCTATGATCACTCCTCTGGAACAATTTGGATTACGTACGGGGAAAACGCCTTCCAGCCGCCACGGCGAAGAGGCGAGCGGGCCCAAGGCAGCAAATTACTTTTACCCGCTGATCACAGCAAATATAGCCGCCATTGTTCCAGGGAAAGAAGCTCCGCCCACCGTGCATCAGACCCACTTTAACACCGCGCAGCCAGAGCAGCAAAGACGCTTCAGCCGCGCGTCAGAACTAAACTAAAAGCATCAGAAATGAAGCAGCGAGCGGGTTTTTGCTGCGTGCCGTCTGAACGTAGAATTGGCGTAAAACAAAGAAAACCTCTAAAGACAAGAAGATGAAAACTTCCTTAGTGGGACATTAAGATGGATGAAGGTCTCTAAACGTCTGCCTCCGATCTGACCTTTGATCCCTGCTGTCGTCTCGCAGGCTGCAGTCATTGACTCAGAGCGAGTCCTTCATGACGCACAAGCTGCAGAGAAGCTTCATTAAACTGACTGAGCTCCTGAGGCAGAGGTTTGATGCCATAAACCAGCAGATTCAGGTAAATTCTCCCGCTGACGCGTTTACATGCGTCTGCAACGGCCCGTCGCTCTAAGCGAAGGCTCCTCTGTTCCTGTGAGCAGAACGCCCACAGCTTGGAGCGCAACCTGATCAACACGAAGATGGAGAAGGTGAAGCTGCTCCAGGAGAAGACCATTCCTCTCTCTGAGGCTGCAGAGAAGGCCAGGAGCTCCACCAACCTGCCCAGCCTGGTGGCCTGCATATCTCAGGTACAACCTCTTTACTTTTTCATGCTTTCTTCTGACCGCCGCCTTGCAGATGGAATCTTTTGGTTACTATGGAGACGTGCGTGCTGATCTTCACCACAGTTTGGCAGTAGTGTCCTTTGACAAACATGAAAGCATTTATCATTTATTTAACAGTCTGTAATAATCCATCCACAGAGCTCGATGTTAACCATCGCCCGATCGCCCGGGGCAATGATCGCAAAAAAAAAAAAAATTATCACTCAAAATTACTTTAAAATCACTGACATTCACTAAAAATTAACATAAAAAAATGTTAATTAATTTTTTTTTGTTATAGAGCCAAACATGTTAGATTGGTGACCTGTAATGTTATTATTATTGTCATTTATTCTGTCAGGGAAAACTAATCCTGAGTCAGTTAAAGTCAGGGAATTCTGAAATGATGTCAGACTGTGGAAACCCTGAATAAAATAACTATAATGATTCTCTAGAAAAGTCACATTATATTAATAGTATTATCTTGTATAAACATACCGTGACTCTAAAATAAAATGTTATTTGTGACATTGACTTCTGTCTTGTGATTTATCTTAAGTTTTTAACCTGTCAAGTTTTTTTTAGATTTTTAACATTATAATTTATATTTTTCCAAGCAGACAACAGTTTAAAGCAAAGTTTAGTTTGAAAAGAATGAGCAGGAATGATTGAAAAGCATGTTAACACGGTAATGTAGGCTGGAGTTCATTATCTGACGCATGCAGATACACACCAGGAACCTGGAAACTTAAAAAATACTGAATTACAAAAAACATTTAAAAAACAAACATGTTTCATTGATATATATACAAAAATGAATATTAGGAACTATATTTATTAAGCATTATACTGGGCAAGTAAAACTGGGCAAGTGGAAAAAATCCTTAACGGGTCGGGTCGCGGGGGTAGCAGCTCCAGTAGGGAGGCCCAGACGTCCATCTCTCCAGCCTCTTGGTCCAGCTCCTCTGGGGGAATCCCAAGGCGCTCCCAGGCCAGCAGAGAAACATAGTCCCTCCAGCGTGTCCTGGGTCTCCTCCTGGTGGGACGTGCCTGGAAGACCTCACCAGGGAGACGGCCAGGAGGCATCCTAAACTCGAGCCACCTCAGCTGGCTCCTCTCAATGTGGAGGAGCAGCGGCTCTACTCTGAGTCCCCCCCAGATGACTGAGCTCCTCCCCCCATCTCTAAGGGAGAGCCCAGACACACTATGGAGAAAACTCATTTCAGCCGCTTGGATCCAGGATCTTGTTCTTTCGGTCATGACCCAAAGTTCATGACCATAGATGAGGGTAGGAACGTAGATCGACCGCTAAATCCAGAGCTTTGCTTTTTGGCTCAGCTCTCTCTTCACCACCACAGACCGGTACAGCGCACACGTCACAGCAGACGCCGCACCAATCTGCCTGTTGATCTCCTGCTTTATTTTTCCCTCATTCATGAACAAGACCCCAAGATACTTAAACTCCTCCACTAGGGGCAGTACACCCTCCCCAACCCTTAGAAGGCGATCTACCCTTTTCCGGCTTAAAGGAATAGTACACCCAAAACATGATTAGCCTTCATTTTCTACTCACCCCCATGCTGAACAACACTCTGGAGTACTTTTTTGATATCTCAAATGCATCTGGAGATCTGGGAGGCTTCTTGCTGTCTGCTGACATTCAAATAATGGAGGTGCGCATTCAGTGTCTGCTCTGCCAATAATGCAAGCGTAGAAGAAGAAATGTGCTGTTTACCTGTGCAAAGAAAGAAACAACGAAAGAAAAATGTCTGAGGACTTCAGTGTTGAGGAAGAGCATGAGTTCTTTGCCGAGCTGAATGCGCACTTTCATCTGGTTTGGTCTGCCGCGGTTTCCGTAGACTCGTGAACGCGCTTTCAGGAAATCCTATACACTACTGTTTATGCTCTAAAAACATTCTAAATGACTTCGTTTCGAGTAAATTCTGGACGCTACCCACTCAGGACACTTGGAATACATTGGACGAGCAGTATGGAGGAATATTGACACGTTTTTTGTGGACTTTTATGGACCTTTCTGCCTCGGGCGCCATAGACCTCCATTATTTGAATGTCAGCAGACAGCAAGAAGCCTCCCAGATCTCCAGATGCATTTGAGATATCAAAAAAGTACTCCAGAGTGTTGTTCAGCATGGGGGTGAGTAGAAAATGAAGGCTAATCATGTTTTGGGTGTACTATTCCTTTAAGGCCATGGTCTCTGAGACGCCACCAAGGGCCATCAAGGCCAGTATGAAAAAAAAAAGTGCTTTCAGAAGTTTGAATTTGAGTTTGACGCAACCTTTTCCTTTAAAACTTATGAGGTTTTGACTCAGAGGAGTTCCAGTTTTATGAATACAGCTTTATAATATGATTTTATTTTGGTATTTATTTCGATTCCTTACTAAATTCCTGGCAACATATATTTTTTTTAATATGAGATGGTAAACATAAAATTATAAAAATTAAATGCTCAAATTAAAAGATAAAATAAGAATCTTTATTTCAGTTATTGTATGTTCCACTTTTGGACAATAATCAATAGTTTGGCCTGGGGGGGGGGGGGGGGGGGGGGGCTCATGGTGAGATGCCCAAAGGGAAAACAAGTAAAAAAGGTTTGAAATAACTGCTTTTAAAGAACTACTCTGACCAGAACCGCTCTCTGTGTTGTCAGATTACTTCCCAGTTGAAGGACGTTGCAGTGGAGGACTGGTGTCCACCGTCTCAGATGTTGAATGTGACGATCACCACGGACAAAAACTCCGTCCAAGGCATCCTGAACTTTGGTAAGCTCAGAACCTCTGAGTTTGGTTCCGTTTTATCCTCCTTGTCTGGATCCTGATCGACATCTGTTTGGAGGCACGAAGAAGTGGGATGAAGGTCTAACTGCTAAAGCTGGGCGTACATCGCTACCATTTTTTCCTGCGCTTTTCTGGCAAATTTCCGATGCGTGCGAGAACTTTTTCAATTGGGCCAACTTTCATCCTGATGGTGCGTCGCGTAGTGCACAGGGGGCGATCAGCCTCTCATGACCTCCTCCCATCAGGAATCGTAAAAAATCTAACTTGTTTGAAATCCAGTTGGTCCTCCTGAGATGTTGGTGGTTAAATCCTGCTGTTGAAGCAGAGCTACCATAACCTGACAACAGCCAGATGCATGTCTCGCTCCGCCTAGCTCCACTCACATACATCTGGGAACCCGCCATAGGAATTGCCTTTACTGAAGGCTGGGCCTTATCAAAACTCCTTGCATATGATTGGATAAGCCACTTGTCTGTCATTTTTATTGACGTGCTATTTCAACCACTCACACCGAAGCTAACCCGTGACGCTGTGAGAGGAGGAGCCATTTGGTAGATCAAGCTCTTGCCAAATCCGGTCGGGAGAAGGGCGAAAACATCGTTTCCACCAACAAAAGCCTTCAAAGCCGTTCTCTGATGTTCTTTTAATGAAACAATATCAGATAGATTGGACAACACAGAAGAAATAGCAGCATCAATGCTAATGCTTGCTTCCTCGATGCGAGCCGCCATTGTTGTTGGAATCTCACGGTCGCTTCTCCACTCCAGGACACACCCGCCCTGCGTCCTGATTGGACAGACCATAAATTCGGTTGGGGAAATCACTTTCAATGAGCGGGTTCCCAGATGTATGTGAGTGGAGCTAGGCGGAGCGAGACATGCATCTGGCTGTTGTCAGGTTAGAGCTACCAGCCTATTTACCAGAACCTCCAGACAAACAAGGGAGTTGTTCTTCTTCACCCAGATAGACGAGTCCGAGCAGCGCCATCAGCAGCAGGGAGCTGAGTCCCACCTGGTTTTTAGACGTACAGTGTGAGCAGGTAGATCGCATCAGAGCATTGGGTCGCACAGACTGAGGACATCATTAGCTGTGGACTGTTAACCCTGCGGTTTCATCATTGATCTGTAGCTGCGTACAGCGATTGAAAATATCTCACAGTGTACTCCTGGCTTAACAGAGCCGCTGTGGTCATTGGACCAGCTTTTGGTACCTTTCCGTTAATGATGGATCAAGCAACACCGATGTGCCGGCGCACGTGTCGAGCTCTAACGGCCTTACCTCTTACCTGACGGGCAGGCGGGGGGAAGCATACCGTCACCGGGTCGGGTTCGGTCGCTCCATTCCTGGCTGGCTCCGGACCCGGACCAGCCCCCGAGCTAATAGCTCTATTGGAATGCCCGGTCTGGTCCAATCAGCAGCCCCCCAGAAAAAAGTGTCCTCCTTTTCAGAAACCCAAATCTTGTCACCCTAATAAACGCCTAAATTAACTTCAAATGTAGAAACCTGCCGGCAGAATATGTTGGCTTTTATTATCCTGCTGCCTGCAGTTTGTAGCACAGACCTGAAAAACGCTAACATCTACTTCCAGCCGCCAACAGGAGGGGAAAACCCCCAAGAGGCGAGCGGGCCTGAGGCAGCTGCTGCTGGGGATTCCCAGTGACATGAATCCACTGGAAGTCAGATATGAGGAGAGTTAAACCCATCAGTATATTGATGGAGGGACAGATTGGGCACCGATGGAGAAGAATGTAGAGCTGAAACAATCGGGTTCATCGATTATTGAAATAATCTTCAATTAATTTAGGAACAAATAAATCGTTAACTGGAGTATAGAGAGTCTATAGCGCGCCTTTAGCTGACGGAGGAACCAACTTAGGGCAGGAATTATATCAAAATATAAAAAATATACATAAAATGTTTGCATTTAAGATAAAAATGTGTTTATCTGTCGTTATGCTCTTTCCTGAACTCCTCAAGTGAAAAAGTTTGAGTTTCATCTGGTTTGATTTCAATAAAGAAAATCTTCTTTAAGGAACCTTTGGCTTTCTAATTTTTAACTGCAAAAATAATCAACAGTTTAATGGATTTGAAAATAATTGCCCTAGTAGAATGTGTGATGCTGTTTTTCCCCATGATGGCGTCTCCTCCTGATGCGTTTAAAGCTCAGGAGGCCTCTGCGGGTGTTTGGACTTCATCACCTGGTCAGGGTGGGACACCATCAGCTTCCATTGATGGACCCGTTCCCCGTATCCAGAATTTTTGCTGGTTCTAGATGATAGTTGAGATGACCCACCAAAAATGTTGCCTCTTTACGCAGTAGGTTATTTTTTTTTTAGATTGACCCGTACATCACACCCTGCTTAACTCTCGGTGGTCTTTTAATGGTTCTGGGTCGGGTCAGGACTTTAGCAGGCGCTCGGTTCTGGTGTGAAGCTGGTTCTGTATAGAAAGTCTGACATGTCGTTTCTGATTCCAGGTAAAGTCCACATCTCCTGGATCCCCTTCTCCATCCCCCAACATGAAACTGCATCCAGCTCCTCCTCTTCTCTCCTCACCCCTACCTCCAGCAGCGTTCCTGTTTATGCTTCACCCTCTTTATCGCATACAGATGCCTCTGTCACATCATCCAACTTCTCCAACCTGTCGGCATCCTGTTGTAGCACCATTCTCCGAACTGGGAGCAGTACTGATGGTTCTGCACTTCGTCAAACGCCTCCTCCACCCTACTCCTCTTCTACACCTTCCTCCACCTTCAGCATTTCCAACTCCTCTTCTGAGATACCCACCGTGGACTTTTTAAAAGAGCTTGAGTCAGTTCTCCAGTCGAGAACTTCAAGTCCTCCTTCCACTAAATCCAGTCTACCTCCTACCCCCGTTTCCAAGTCTTCCTCTTTATCCAAACCTATCTACACTGCGGCCTCCACCACTACATTATCCCACCTGGACACCAGCAGTGGTTCCTTGGTTATTTCCTCTGCATCTACTGCAGTTCCTCCAACTACCTCCAGCCTTGCTGCTCCATCAGCCGCAGTCATTGGATCCAGAAACCCCAAATCCATTCAAAGAAGGAATCCTTTTCTCTCTAGTCTCCTTCTTGAGCAAATGCCATCTTCATCTGCTCAAACAGCTCCTCCTCCTTCGTTCAAGGGGCCATCACAAGCTCTCCATCTCACTACACCTGTCATGTTACCTTCATTGCCTTCCTCTACTCTGTTTTTCTCTCCATGTTCAGAAGTTCTCCCCCAAACCATTAACACCAAGGGTCCTGGTAGGGTGGAGGAAAAACAGAGTCCAAAAACACCTGAAGAAATGAAACCAGTCAGGAAACCAGACGGGCCACCCGTCTGTTTGTCTGAAGAACCCACAAAGAGCATTTCCACCAAAGGTTCCAACTCCACAGTCCGAATTAACGTTCTAACCAAGTCTCAACTAGAGTCCACTTCAGGGAAACTGTTTGTCAAGTTTCATTGGAAGAATAAGAAGGCTGGCACAGACTCTACAAACATCTCTACTAAGAAAAGAAAAACCCTTCCTTCACCAGAGCAACCTCCCTGCAAGAACCTCCCTGAAGCTACTGTCCATAGGAATCCTTTACCCGTGGGCCATCCACCAACCGTGGGCCATCCATCAACCGTGGGCCATCCACCAACCGTGGGCCATCCACCAACCGTGGGCCAACCACCAACCGTGGGCCAACCACCAACCTTGGGCCAACCACCAACCGTGGCCCAACCACCAACCGTGGGCCATCCATCAACCGTGGGCCATCCATCAACCGTGGGCCAACCACCAACCGTGGGCCATCCATCAACCGCGGGCCAACCACCAACCGTGGGCCATCCATCAACCTTGGGCCAACCACCAACCGTGGGCCAACCACCAACCGTGGGCCATCCACCAACCGTGGGCCATCCACCAACCGTGGGCCATCCACCAACCGTGGGCCAACCACCAACCGTGGGCCAACCACCAACCGTGGGCCAACCACCAACCGTGGGCCAACCACCAACCGTGGGCCATCCACCAACCGTGGGCCATCCACCAACCGTGGGCCATCCACCAACCGCGGGCCATCCACCAACCGCGGGCCATCCACCAACCGCGGGCCATCCACCAACCGCGGGCCATCCACCAACCGCGGGCCATCCACCAACCGCGGGCCATCCACCAACCGCGGGCCATCCACCAACCGCGGGCCATCCACCAACCGCGGGCCATCCACCAACCGCGGGCCAACCACCAACTGTCAGCCAACCTTCACCCGTCGTCCATCCAGCAACCATTCCCATGATTTTGACAACTGGCAAGGCTTCTACCCTCATCCGGCCTTCAACCTCCATTTCTCTCCTTCCGTCTTTCACCTGCTCTACATCTTCCAGTTATCTCATCTTGCCCCAGGTGATTTCTACCGCAGCTCAGTCTGCCAGTGTTCAGCCAATAAGCTCAGTACCTCTGGTGACGACTCCTTTACTATCTAACGCTCCCATCAGTGCGGTCCAGCCAATACTGACCCTGAACCAACAAGTTGTTCCCACTCAGAACCAGTCTCATGTACTGCTGTTGACCAACTCAAACTCCCTGTACCCGGTGTTTGACTCCAATATCAGACTTTCCTCGGACTTGACCCAACTTCCAGGGCTTCAGAGCAGCACCCTTACAGTTGAGGAAGGCTGTGGGAGTTCAAAGGATGCTTCAGTTCTTGTTAGTCCTCAATTACTTCCCTCTGTTGGGCGGAGTCTTCCAACTCCAGAAATCTGTCCTGACTCAAGCAACCAGCACCTCTCAGACCAACACCTCGCCTCTAGAGTTGGACCTGTTTCTCTCAACCTGAACAACCGGCAGCAGAATCCTGACTTCAAGGAGAACCCTTGTCCATCTCTGGTCTGTCCCAGAGATGGACAGCAGGGACCAGAAGCAAGCAAACTGATCACCGGTGGGTCTGATCTGACCCGTAATGGGACAACTGATGAAAACAGACAGAACCCGAGACCCGAACCAGAGAGCCGACAAGTAGCAGATTCATTAGAAAGAGCGGACTCTGTGGTAGAGCAGTCTTCATCTGAAAACCTCAATTTAGATCCAACCAAAACCAAAGAATCCCAGTCTTCCTTTAATTCATTAACACTTGGAACCACAGACCAGAAGCTCGTCACCGTAGCAGGTTATACAGAAACCCCAAAGTCTGAAAAAACATCCCATAGAACTTCGGAAGAAGTCACCATTGTCTTGTCTGAGGAAGATGATTCCTCAGAATATGAGTTTCTACCCGAGGTTTACGAGGTCAGATCGAGTTGTGAAGAAAGGCCAACATTTATGAAACCGGTTTCACCTGGAGATTCAGATGATGAGGTCACCGTCCTTGCAAATGAACCTGAAGAGGAGTCCTCTCCTGATGTTTACGAAGTCAAACCGTGCACGTCACGATTGAAACCGATGGATGTTTTCAGTGAGCTAGCCTCACCGGTACCTTCTGAAGACCAGCTGTCCTTGGCCTTGTCTGAAGAACCTGAACTTGGCCTGAAGCTGTCTTCTTCTGAAGCATCAGATGGAGAAGGCAAAGAGCCACCGAGCTCCAGGACTGACCGGCAGGACTACAGCCAGCTCCAGTGGCAGCCCACGGTGTCTCTGCTGAGACTTCCCCTGTCCCTTCCTGGACATGGACGTCCCCCACCTCGGTACCATTTCATCGGTAGCAAAGAAGATGAGCTTTATCTGCAGGAGGTGGAGGAGAATGCTCAGGTCCATTCATCATTATGATAAATCTAAAGAAGCCATAGTTGTCCCTCTGATTGGGTCATTTCATGTTTGTTGTTCTGCTGTCTTCCAGTCCAGTGAAGAGGAATCCTTAGAGGCTGTCACTGATAACTCCTCTGAGGTCACAGAGGACTTCACAGAGCCTCAGTCTCCGCTGTCCTTGGAGGTCATTTCTTGCGCCGCCTGTGGATCAGCCAGTGCATCGAAGATCTGCACAGTCTGCAGCCGGGGGTACCACAGGGACTGCCACGTCCCTCCATTTGGACCAGACATCTGGTAGGAGATAATGTCATCATCAATGGTTCCTACTGGGCAGTTTGTAGAAGTTAAAGGGGAACAGTGTTTTTTATACATTGGTCCCTTGATTTTACGTTATTACATCATGTTCTACTCAGCCATATGAGTTTTGTGTCATTTGGAGCCGTTCTGAAGATATTCCGTTAAAAACAAAGCGGGATTTTGTCTGACGTCATCCGCGCGGCGGACTGGAGTAGTGACAGGCAGCCCGGGCCACAGGCGGCTACGCTCTACCCCTTCTATTCATTCTAGCTAATCTGAATCGTTCATTTGGAGAGCGAGATCATCTGTGGTAGCAGCACTAGACATCTTCCAGGCATGTGAGGAAAACTAGCAGCAGTTCAGCGGACAGGATGATTGAACGGTAGCCGGCGCGCGGATGACGTCATACACACGCCACTTCATTTAACAAATGACAAAAAACTCATATGGGTGAGTAGATCATCCAGTCAAATGGATTCAGAGTTTTCTATTTAAGGAAAACCAGCTGATTGCATCGACTCTTCAGCGATCCCTCACACTAAGCATGCTTGTAGCGACAGTGGAGAGGAAAAACTCCCTTTGAACAGGAAGAAACCTCCAATAGAACCAGGAGGAACCACTTTTACTGTCCAAAAAAGACATGAACAAGTAGACAAAGGCTGAGATTAAACCATAAAACATATTAATTTAAAGAACTAGAAGAAATTAAACAGAGGAAAAAAAAAACTATAAGATACTTTATGGTTTACAAGTGGGGATGTAAGTAATTGATTAATTATCTAAAATTGATCCATCTTATCAAACACTAATCTAGTTTTAAATCTGGATTTAAAGCAACTTAACCCTGAGTTCTCTTTCATCCTTTCACCATGCATGGCATAAGCTTTTGAGCTTTTTGGACACAATGAGCTCACAGTGAGCCTTCATGCCTTGGCCCCTGGGCAGGAAGGGGACGTTCTTGTCCAAAGCAGTCCCTATGGAAATGGTGATGTGTTAAAAGAAAGTGCTCACCACATCTGCCAGTCGCAGGTGCTAGGGTGCTGTGTAGCAACGCAGAGCAGCTTGCGGTGTTGTACACATGGCCCTCAGGTGCTTTCTGCCCAACCTACTGGGGAGGCATGTACAGGTTCGGACAAACGACACCCATGGTGCACCACATAAACCACCAGGGGGCACCAGGTTACGCAACTTCTGAAGGTGTCCAGGGATCTCCTGAAATGGGCTGCTTTTCATCTGTCCACCCTACAGGCAATGTATTCACCTGGGGTGAACAATCAGATCGCAGACTGTTTCTCACGTGCCCCCCCCCCGTCATCTGGTCTGTTCCTGTTTGGCTGTGACTCCATCCTGGAGAGAAATATCAGCTGTGCTGCTGCCATCAACACCTTTGTTTCTAGATGTTGGAGCTTGGCCTGTTTTCCAGTGTAGTCCTGTTTCTCTGACTGTGACTAACTGGATGTGCTCTCTTCATCCTCTGACATGGGAGCTGGCTCGGAGCTCGTCTGCCTGGCTGTGTATTTCCTGGACGGGGCCGCCTGTGGAGCTGGTTGACAGTTGCCTTTTGTATCTATGCTTCTATTTCTATGTCTGCTTCTGTCTCCTTGAACCCCAGTGGGCCTCAGCAGATGGCCGCTCACACTGAGCCTGGTTCTGCTGGAGGTTTCTTCCTGTTCAAAGGGAGTTTTTCCTCTCCACTGTCGCTACAAGCATGCTTAGTGTGAGGGATTGCTGGAGAGTCAATGAGTCGATGCAATCAGCTGGTTTTCCTTAGATAGAAAACTTTGAATCAATCTGACTGGATGATCTGGTGAACTGGAAAGTGACCTGAAATGACCTGATGTGAATTGGAGCTATAGAAATAAACTGAATAGAATTGAATTCTATAATGTCCACATGGCTGCCCCTCATCCTTTGAACCAGGTTCCTATACGAGGTTCAGTTGGTCCCTTTCAGTGAGGTATGTGCCAGTCATCCGGTGCTTTCAGCACCTTAAATAGAGCCTTATTTCTTGTATCCAAACACTCCTCATGCACATGTTGTGGCCTTGGAACTATGATACTGATTGAATAAAACTCATAAATGTTCCCACCACTCACCGCTGCAAGGATCAGTTCCTGAAGAACATCTCTAGGACTAAAGGACTTGGTCCTCCTGTTAGGTTTATTGAAGACAGTTCGTGTACATATGAAACATTGAAGATCTGCCTCCAGCTGATTGGTCATTACAGGGTCATTCTGTCTTAAGACCCCCCCCCCCCCCCCCCCCCCCATCCTGTTGTGATCTGTTAATAAAAGGCTCTACTGTGAAGGGAGCAGGGAGAAAAGCTGCTGGTTGTGAGCTAGCAGTTCTTCTCCCTTCTGCAGAGGCTGTTGTTGTAAATCCCTGCCTGCGTCTGATCATTTCATCCTCTATAAACTCACATTTTTTGAACCCAACACCTTCTTTAGTAGAAGACTGACTGTGTTCCTGTCTCTGAGCTTCTGAAGGTTCATCACTACACCCAGATTTAGATGGCTGACACAGTTTTGGTTTTTAGTTCTGATTTTATATTTTATTTTAAATAGTTTTTTTATTATTTGTTTGCTAGTTTAGTATTTATTTAAAAAACACTTAGTTCCAGTTTAGCTTTTATGTGATACAACTAACAAACAGTTCAGAACTAAAAAATCACAACAGAAATAAAATCCCAGATAAGAACCAATCGCTGCAGCAACACCAAGGACCTGACTGCTGTGCTGCCCTCTGCTGGTGTGATGCGGTACAACCACAACTTCTGTTAATGCATTATGATAAAGACACAGACTAAAACTAGGCTGTTTAGTTTATTTTTTTATTAGTTTTTATATTCTTATTGCAGTTTTGGTTTTTCCTTAGTTTTTATCTTTACTTTAGTTAACCAGCATGTTTTAAACTCTAGTTAACGATGATGTAATGACTTGTCTCCATCAAACAGACGGAGCTGCTTTACGTTGCAGGTCAGAACAGCAAACATTTTGTCGCTGGTTTTAAACTGCGTCCCTGATGTTTGTGTTGAAGGTCCGAGTTGGTCTGCTCGCTGTGCCAGGACCTGTCCGACCCGTCGGACCCCTTCAGCTCCGACAGACCGAGGAGCCCGCAGTGTTCCCTCAGCCTGCAGGACCAGAGGGTGGGTCGGCTTTTAGAACCTATTTAGATGATTGTGTGAGGTCCGGTTGGCCCGGTTCTGCTTGTTTGAACGCGGTTCTGTGTGTTTCAGAGATGTGAGACTCTCCTGCTGCACCTGAAGGTCGACGGCTGCACACGCTTCTCACAGGTCTGTTTTCACACCCGGAGCGGTTCTGGTGATAGCGGTTAGCGCATCACTTCCTGTCTACAGGCCCTTAGTGGCCATTGGAAGGACTTCCTGTTACCAACCACAGTTACGGATCTGGGTCCTGCAGTGATCAGAACCAAAACTTTAAGACGAGATGTCAGGCTCAGATTTTAAAACCATTAGTTTGAATGTCCCAGTAAATGGGGGTGGGGGTGGGGGGGTGCTGAGGCGTTGTCCGCATCCAGCCCCAGTACGGTGGCTGAGAGGTGCCAGAATGCAAAACAGGATTTCACTGCAAATTCAAAAGTTCCTGCAAACTCTGCAGTTAAATAAAGACAGAATGCTGCTGCAGCAAAATCAACTGCAAGTTAAGCTGCAAAGGAGCTCCAAACCACTAGGGGGAGACGATCCTCACCTGGAACCAGACAGGAAGCTCAGAGAGATTAAACACAGAAACGATGTGTTGGATTTCAGCGGCTGCACCCCCCAAGGACCCGGTCTACCTGGACTGGAAGGAGGCTGGAAGAGTTTCTGCTGTGGATTCAAACAGGTCCGGCCTTCTCCTGCTTTCACCACCGATACGCTCTGTCGCCTAGCAACCATTACAGGGGGCTGGTTTACTAGGCTATTCTTTTCCTACTTTGTGTGTCAACTGACACGGTTGCTAGGCGACAGAGCGTAGAAGGCTGGACCTGTTTGAATCCAGAGGCCAAACTCTTCGGGTCTCCTTATTTTCAAGGACCTGGAAGCATCCAGTCCAGGTAGACCGGGTCCTCGGAGGACGCAGCCCAGGAATTTAAATTCCTCCTGCTGAGCTTCATCCGTCTCCCTTCAGATGGTTCCTGTTTGCAGGACGGTCCTGCTGTTCTTCCCTTCAGACTAGTAGAACCAACTGGAATTACTGCCGCTAAGCTAAGCTAAGCTAAGCAGCAATGAGCCGTTTTACCAGATTCATGCTGTTTTTGACCAACCTGCCTTCTGATTGAGCTGTTTGGCTTCCATCTTTGGAACTCAGATTAAAATGATGCCCATTCTAGACCAGTTTGTCTTTTTATTACGTCTTTAATCACAATGTGGTGGAAAATAGCGCCCTGCTTTACTACATTAATCTGCTTTTCTTCTATTTTTGTCACCGACTCTGAAGCTGTTTTCCAGTGTGAGCCGTTTTAGACTCTCAGTTCTCGTTATTTCAGCATCCGTCTGGTTGCTCCTGGCTGGATGTGGAAACGCTCCCAGCAGCCGCCATTTTTTATATTTTCTGGTTTATTCTTTGAGTCTGTAGGACCTTTTGAACTTGTGTTTATGTCGAGTTTTCAAAGGTGAGCGTCTTATTCTCACCTTTATTCCTCTGGTTTATTGCAGAAACTTTTAGAAGGTTTGGATCTCAGATCAACTCTGTGCAGCAGATGTTTAGTTTATTGTAGAGAAACTTTATTGGAACCCCAGATCTGCTTGTTTAACCTCCAAACATGATTCCTCGGCGGCGCCGCGATGGCGCCCTAACTGGTTTCAGTGGCTGCTGCTGATGGCGTCTCTGCTTTCAGATGGATTTCTGGTCGGATCTGATGCTGATATCGGAGCGTCTCAGCCTCCGTCTGTCTCCAGCCTATCGGACGCCTGCAGAGCTCGTCTCTGACCTCTGGCACATGTTCAGTGACGCCCCGCAGGTGAGACCCGACCCGTTTCTATGGAAGGAGCAGCAAGTCGGAGGTGGAACCAGAGGGCTGATGCTCCTGCACAGAGTTTCTGTTTAACTCAACCAAAAATGCTTCAGGTTGACTTTTTGTCCTGAAAGTTTAGACTAATTATTATTAATCGATTATTGAAATAATCATTAATTAATCATCAATTATTAACTGGAGTATAGAGACTCTGAAACATGTCTTTAGCTGACAGAGCGACAAACTTAGAGCAGGAATTAAACCAAGATTGTAAAAAATAGTAGAATCTACTTTATTATTGGGAAATGAGTCATAAACCCAGGTGAGCAGTTCATACTAGCAGCTGCCATTAGAAACAATAAATACCAGCTGAAAACACACATAGGTTACGTACGCACTAATAAGAAATTAGAAAAAACATGCAACACTAGAAGAACAAGAAGAACAGCGAGTTATTTCACTCATTTCTCCTATAGATCTATTTAAAATGCTGGTTAGATGTTGATGGAGGAGGAGATAAAGGAGCATTTAAAGCGGGTCGGTTTGGGATTCTGAACCTTCTGCCAGAAGGAAGGAACTCGTATTCCTGATGAAGGATGAGGGACGGGTCCACGCCGTCATCCCAAACCTGATGGCGCCCTCCATCACCGCCGGATAAAAACACGATGTTCTGATCGACGCCAAACATCCTCAGTCTGCGGGGAAAATTCATCCTCTAAACGGGAACGTAGGCGGTCAACATTTTAAAGCTTGAAGCTTTCTCTCTCCGGTTCGTTTTCCTGAGAACGGATCATTCTGGAGAAACTCTTTAAATAACACTTGGCAATGTTTATGTATTAAATAACCAGGAGACGTTATAATCTTCAGAGAAATTGCTCTGAGTTACAGAAGGCAGCTGCTCACCTCACAGGAAGTGGCCCCAATTAACAGTTAAAGAAGCATTTTCTACATCTCCAGTCTGACGCATCATTTTATTTTACATCAGACACGTTAGCAGATGATTAGCCGTCCATAGCTGCCATCCTGCCTTATCAAAATATTCCACTTTGTGTTAGCTGAAGGACGCCGCTCTCATTCCCAAATCAGTACAGAATGAAGATTATAACTGTATCCGGGCAGAGGAACCGGCCTGATTAGATAAACTGTTGGGGAAAACATCAGTTCTGAGACGCAACAGGCAGCTAATATTAAGGTTTAATAAAGTCATACATATGGCTTCAACTAACGATTATTTTAAAAATTTATGAATCGGCCGATTATTTTTTCGATTAATCGATGAATCGGACAAAAAATATTTTTTATATTAAGTACAGGTTGCTCATTAACTGTACTGGTGCAATATGAAAAATAAATGTTTGTGTTAAAACTACGCAAACTTACATGAGAAATGTAGCTGTACATCCACAAAATATAGGCTACTTTGTTTCATAAAGCGCAAAAAAAGACATTTTTGTTTTTAAAAGCCCCTAAGGGGTTCAAACAATAGGCCCCCCCATTTCAACAAATGAGTTTTTTTTAGACTAGAAGAGTTCTGCCTTTTAAGACAGGAAAGTATAGCAGTTAAAGTTGCTACTTGAGAAAATACTGAACCATAGAGATAAAAATAGCCTGTGATTCAAATTATAAATAGTATTTGGAATAAAAATGAGAGAACTAGGGGTGCTAAAAAACACATCCTCCAAAGACAGATATTTACATGGGAATGTGGCAGATAATTAATTGACATATTACTGATCTTGCTGGATTTTATTCTGCTTTACTTCCATAAATTGCAGGATCTTCTTTACTTTATCTTTGCCAGAAGATTTAAACTTTAATAGCCTTGCCCTCATAATTTGCAAGTTAATTTATTTATAAAGTAAATATAAACGCTGCTTAAGCTAATTTAAATGAAATTAAAGGTAAAATAAGTAGCCAACCTTATCACTGTCTGTAACCTACTAACACGGTAAGGAAAGCATCAGATGAGCTACCTGAGAAACTAACGTTACGTTTCCCCACTTTAAAACCAAACAAACATGGCCGCTCACCCTGCTGATCAGCTCTCTTCACGCCATCGAGGCTCCAACGTGTTTTCTTTTCAGATGCTGCATCATAACAGTGGTGCTTCCGTGCCATGTTCATTTGTTTTGACAAAAGTTGCATGTTATCACTTTTTTCGCTTTACAAAGGCTATTTTAATTATTGTGATCAATTTGCGCCGTCAATCCCGGCGCATGCGCGCTTCATTTGCAGTCTGGACGCTGAGGGTAAACATCCTGCTGCTCTGACTGCAGCGCTGAGGGACTCCTGCGGGAGAACGGGGTTGGGGTGGGGGAGGCGCCCCACGGAAGAGTAGGAACCATACATGCTTTCACGTAAGAGTCTCCAAAAGCCGCCAGTGACACCGTAAAAAGTCGCCAGATTTGTCGCTAGTCGCTTTTTTGGAAAATAGTCGCTGGAGGGGTCTGAAAAGTCGCTGAGTTGGCAACACTGCACCTGCGGCGCTGGCTCGCTCCGCCATATTTTTTTTTCTTCCCCCGTTTCAGTCAAGTGGATGTGATGACGGCGGCGGCGGCGGATGACGCATTAATCGCGCGACACAACTAAACGATTATGAAATTCGTTGCCAACGCTTTTAAAAGTCGATTTTTATCGATTTTATCGATTCGTTGTTGCAGCCCTAGTCACACATCTTCAATGATAATTATCCCAATGACATGATCACCCCAACTTAGGTGGAAACCTAGATACCTGCACCAGGTGAGCTGTTTGATCTGCTGCCTGGGAACAGTCAGTGGGGTATGACCCCCCCCCCATCCCCCCAAACACCATCACCTCAGTTTCCTGTTGATTGGGAGCTAGTTCTTCTCACGCGACTGAACATATTTAGTAACCTGTATGGAGAACCAATGGCGAACAGAGCTGCTGAGCTTAGCACCCCTCAGGTGCACCTGTACAGGTGCATTTGATTCTGAAACTGAGCCGTCAATCCAGATATGCTAAAAAATAAAAAAACAGTTAATAATAAAAGGATTAATCATTTCCTGTCAGAGCCGATGAGGCTGGAAGGAGTTAAAGCAGAAGTAAAATTATCCATGAACAAAAGTTCATAGACCGTGTGCAAATAACGCCATGATGCTCTTTATGCTCGTTAACACTCACATAATGAGATAGAGGGAGAAAAACACAATAGATGAGTAAAAAAGAAAATAAATAAAACAGCAAACGAGTCGACAGAAGAAGTAGTAATGGAAAATATAAAAATGTTTTTCATTTAAGAATAAAAAAAAACATTTTTCATTTCACATGAAAAATCTTCTTTAATGAACCTTTTTCTCTCTAATAATTAATCGATTAATCAAATTGTAAAATAATTATTAGTTTCAGTCCTAATTTGGACAGAAAGCTGTGAGGGTCTACAGAGGAACATTAGAGAACCTGGAGAACTTTAGTTGTTTCAGATGTTCTGCTTCCTCTCCTCCAGGACGCGTCTCTAACGGAGCTGCAGCAGAACTTCCAGAAGAAGTTGGTGGAAACTTTGGGTTCAGAGCTTCATCCTTCTCTGCTGAAGCCACCAAACTGCAGCGACCCCACAGAACCCAGCAGCTCTGCAAACACCAGCAGGAAGAAGAGGGAACTAGAAGAAGACGAAGAAGAAGAAGAAGAATGCATGTCTGAGTCCAGGCTGCAGCTTCTGAGGAAGAGACTGAGGGACTTCCTGGATCTGAGGGGAGGTTCTGCAGCCAACAGACCAAAGAAAAGAAAACAGGAAGACGGTTCCAACTGAGGGACTGGGTCCGGTTACAGTGACCCCCCCCCCCAATGGGACCCGACACGCCTCTGGTTCTCTGCCTTAGCTGCAACTTCAAACCTCCAGTTGGACTTTTTCTGTTACTGTTTTTCCTTTTTTTGCACAGAGAATATTAATTAAAGTCTTAGTTACTATTTGATGTTTTACTGAATAAAGAAGCTGCTGAATATGAAGGAATTAAAGGGCAGAATCTGGATCCCAGACGGATGGAGAGAACGCGGGAAAAAACCCCTCATTTTCTGATCTAAAGGGTTCTAATGGATCTGCTTTCCAAGTTCATAGCATCCTGCAGTTCAGCCAACAGGGGGCGGCATAGAGCTGATCTCCATCCTAGCACCTGAAGAATAACAAACTGTTCATTAAAGGCAAAGACTATAAATAATTTATACATTTATAAAGTTTTGTCCACAGTATTAAATCTATGATCCACTTTCCTGTTTATTCTTTTATTATTACTGATCTTTCTAATAGAAAAAAGGATATTTAGCATTTAGAAAATCAATGTCACTGAATGATTTTTACTTTAATTTAGAATATTTTTAAAATAAAGAGTTGCTGAATGTAAAGAGAACAAAAAGGCATCTGAGTTTAGATGTTTTACTGTTTATTTTTTAAGGTAATTTAAGGAAAGAAATCATGTTGGGGAGTGTTGGCCTGGTGGTAAGAGCAGTACCTGGTTCACACAGAGTGCCGCTCGGGGTCCCTGAGCAAGACCATTAACCCCCCACTGCTCCCTGAGGGCAGGGGTTGAACACAGAGAGGGAATTTCTCCATTCTAAGATCAATAAAGAGCAATTATTATTATTTAAATAAATGCATCAAACAGCTGTTCTCCAGTCCGGCCACCAGAGGGCAGCGCTGCTCAGTATTTAGGTCCCTGAACTCCTGATAAAAAAAAAACTGACTTTGTTCAAATGAAAATCTGTCAGTTTTTAATTGTTTTGCACAGAAAGCTGAAAGTCAGACTGTTGATGCCTTTTTCTTTTTCCCCCAACTGAAACATTTTCTGCTTTTATTAAAGTTATTTGATGCAAAGCAGAGCCTCAAACCTGCAGGAATCTGCAGAAATTTTTTTCACTGCAGTTTAAACCTGAGGACCGCCGCCAGAGGGCCTCAGAAAATAGAGGAGAAAATATATAAAAAACATTTGCATGAAAACATTTTAGCAAATTTTCTTAAGCTAATCAAAAGTGATCATTAGATAGAAATAATCCAAATTTTTACTTTTAAACTGTCGAACTATTGGGGAGTAATTTCCCTCTGGGATTATTAGAGTATATATAAAAAAAATATGGTCTGCTTGAAACAGACTGGTCTCTCCTCACCCCCCACTCACACTCACCCACCGTCTGGTCGGCCCAGTATCTACCATCAACTAACATTCCCTAATCAGATCCCAGATCAGCCCTGTCCACCAGTCGCAGCCGATGTCCAGGCTGAGGCTCCGCCCACACACTGTATAAGAGGAGCAGCACCTGCAGCAGGAGCCACAGAAGCTTCACGTTCCCAGAAATCCCAGCTCCAGTCCTGATGGTGGTGGAGGTGAGAAGCCGAATGGAGGCGACGGAGCCAAACCAGCAGAGGGTGGAGGCCAACATCCTGCTGCTGGGAGCGCACAACGTGGGCAAGACCGGTGAGGACTTCCGCTGTTCATTAGATGGTCAGGGAAATATTTCCCTCAGATGGAAAGAGATGTTCTCATGATGTCATCAGAGGAAAACATTAAAAGCTGAAAACCTTTTCTCATTTGAATGGTTGGTAACCGCTAACCTGCCATCTTCTCCTCCCTGCAGCTCTGACCGTCAGATTTCTGACCAGACGGTTCATTGGAGAGTACGGAGATATCGGTGAGACCTCCAGATCCAGCTGCTTCTAACCTCTGCTGCTTTTCATAGTGGCCTAAACAAAGACCTGATCTGCTTCTTGGTTTCAGAGTCCATTTACAGTCGAGTGGACAGAGTGGATGGTCAGGACATCTGCATCAACATCTGGGACTCCCAGGTAACCTTCAGCTCCTCGCTGCCTTCACACGCCTCCCGATAGATTTCAGGGAGCAGTCAGTAACTTACCTGCAACATCCGTGTCTGAAAGTCATCTGGAAATGAGCAACGGTTTGGTTTCTCCTCAGGCTGGAGGGAAAAGTGGCTCCATCAGCGACAAGCGGCTGCAGTGGGCGGACGGGATGGTGCTGGTCTACGACATCTGCGACCGCGGCAGCTTCGACGTCATTCGCCAGCAGCTGCAGCTCATCCGTCGCAGCCGGAAGATGTCGTCTGTTCCCGTCGTCATTGTTGGGAACAAACGGGACCTGCAGCATCACCGCAGGGTCTCCGGCGAGGAGGGTCACCTGCTGGCTCAGACGGAGCGCTGCGGCTTCTTCGAGGTGTCGGCGGCCGAGGCGTACCACGGCGTCCTGCTGGTGTTCCACCGGCTGGTCGACCTGGTCAGAGAAACCCGGGCGCTGAGGAAGAGCATGGCGGGGGTGAGGGGGATCGTCCGGAGCGTGTCGGCGGTGTTCGCCAAGAAACGAGCAGAATGAACTGGCAGAGAGAGTTTACCGCTTTAGATCCAGGAGACTTCCTGCCCAGAACCCTGTGAGGACGGTGGAAGATGAGACGGATGCGGAAGGTTGACAGAACGAGCCTTCCTTTGAACGTAGATCAAGGTGGTCACTTGAGATTTGCAGGTGTTAAGATGATCCTGGAAGAGACGATGGAAGAACCGGCAGATGGATCCTGCTGGTTCTGGACCTCCTGAGGAGAGCAGAGGAGGAAACTCGCTGACAGGGAGGCCAACGCTCAGCTGCAGCAGAAAGATGGCGGCTGCTTCTCCTCTTTAGGGACAGAAAGTTAGACCTTCTTAGGTGCAGGAACTCTGCAGCCAGCAGGAGGCGCTAGTTCCCATTAACCAACCTTTAACTGCTCAGATCCGTGCATTTGATCAAGGTTGCATCAATAAATGTTGGAAACAAGAATATTTATTTAAAAAGTCATTGATCTTCTAATTCTCTATAAGCTGTATTTATACAGACGATGAAACCAATAATTTTTTTCTTTTAGCTACGAGATCTGTTAGCTGAAGCAGGATTGAGACCCCTAGTGGTGTCGCTGTGGTACTGCAGGGGGTTGTGAGAACGTTAAAGATCCTCCAGCTGTGAAACAATCTGTTTGTCTTCGTGTTTCTGATGTAATTAATTTATCCTGGTTTGTTTTTTATTTCTGCATTAAAACCGAAATAAAATCAAGTCTGTTTTGAAGTCGGAGCTGTGAAGTTTTTATTTCATCACATCCCACTCAGGTAGAAATATTACATTCACATGGAGATACAGAAGGTAAAGACATGGAGAAGAAATTTGATTCGTTTGACTTTCGTTGACTTTCCATAAACCCAGCAGCTTGTTTCTCCAACAAAAACTTTTTATATCAGCATTTGTTTTATTTCATTTTTAAAGAAAAAGACTTTATTAAAGAGAAACCCAAAAACAAGACAGAAATCACCTTCATCCCATCAGATTGGGCCTTTTCTAAACTTTAAATCTTTCAGAAAATTACACTTCCTTCTGCTAAATCCAAAATAAACAAGTTATATCCAATTTGATCAAATATTCTATGATCAGAAACAAAAGTTAGATGTGGAAAAAGTCCATTAAAATAAATATTGATACATTATAGAGACTATTAATCCAGTTTAATTCAGCTCCTTTAAAAAAAATCTCCAAGCTTGAGAAGCTTTAACTGTTAAATGTGACTTTGAGCTTCAGGAGGAATCCCACAGGGCTGTGTACTCGGCCGCTTCAAATACTCCAGTCACATGACCCAGACTGAATACAGTGGAGCAAACGTCACTTTGACAGTAAAAGAGAAACTAAAATCTTTACACTTCTATTAAAATGCCAGCAGATTTTACAAACAAAAGGACCAAAATTAATTATTTAAAACCTCGGTTTTAATGTAACGAGCAGTTTATGATGAACTTGCAAAGAAACCAAAACCACTTCAAGGGTAAAATGTAAAAAATTTAACTGATGAAGTTTTTCATGGAGCTCAAACCTGATGGCGATTTTAGTGAAATGAACAAAACTAAAACATTTAACCTTTTAGCACAGGCGCCTTCAATGTCTTCCAGGCTGAGGACCCCAAACTGATGGCGAGATGGAGCGGAGACCCCCTGATTATATATTGTATGAAATAGTGTTCTATCAAACTGGTCTTATAGTCACTCTATTACAGATGGAGTAATGTAACTAAAGTAATCCCTCCCTGGGATTATTAAAGTATTCCTGATTCCTGGTTGATGGGACGGGTGTTGTGAATGAAACGGTGTCCAGCTTGAAAGAGCTCCTGTGTGTCTCTGAATGTGAGCATTGATGACTGAAAGACATCTTCTGCCTCCATTTATCTGTTTACTACAGTCTGTTGGATTCATGTTAATGTGGATTTAAAGACATTTCAATTAGAGGAGAAAACTGCAGGAGGGAATATAAAAGTCTTTCAGGACCCCCATGCAGGACTTCTGCGGACCCCTTAGGAGTCGCGGACCCCCTGTTGAAGACCTCTTTTTTAGCATGTTTTATCTAAGGTTTAAGTGTAACGATGTCAGGAGTCGGACAGACGCTGAGGCATCAATGATGGAGGAAATATGAGACATCCAGACTGTGGCGACATGGTGACCTTGGGTCAGACAGCAGAGATTTTCCTCCCTGGACAGGAAGTAAAATCACCAGTTAGGAACCCAGACGGCCGCTAGCAAGACCCAAAACCCAGAATACTCTCCGGTAGAGTCCTGCACGGGTCGAGTTTTACCAACCCGCACCCGCCCGAACCCGTTAGGATGACTACCGAACTCGACCCGTCACCCGCGGATATCTTCAATTCAAATCCGAACCCGACCCGTTGATATTTAACCCGCAACCCGACCCGTTAACACATCCAGTATTAGGCTATAGCACGCTGCGCTGCAGAACAGCGCCATTAACACTGCAGCAGACGTGTATGCACTGACTGTGGCCTTTTTGGAGGGAAGCCCACACTGCCGGCAGGGCTTTAAGCTACAGCAAGGGTGACCCCAGTGCCTGATTAATAGAACATTTCTGATGTCCATAACAATAGACACGCATAAAAAAAAAATCACCAACTACCCGCCCGCACTAAAAAAATATCCGCCCGACCCGTTTATTTTTATGTATGTATTTTTCACCCACAAAAGAGCATTTTAGCGGGTGACCCGTCGGGGACCCGCTAAAATGAGGACCCGTTGCAGGACTCTACTCTCCGGGCTGCTCGCCATAAAAAGGGAAGAGGAGATATTTATCCACTGTTGGAGAGACGGACAGAGATATTTTCTTTTTAAAGAAAGATAGAAACTGGCAGGAAAGGCTGAACGGGTTTCTGATGAGCTCTGATTCTGTTCGATCTGTGACGCCCCTCCCTGTATGTCGGCATCAATGAGAAGGATTGTGTGACGACAGGTTTTTTTTTAAGCAAAGAAAAACATCCCGAAAATCCTCCAGAATCTGTGGAATTATTTATTTTCTGGTTTCAACACCGTCTTAACATAGTAGAACACGGCGGTGGCATAGTCATGATCGGGGACCTTCAATGTTTAGATAAATATCTTCTATGTCCTGAACAGGGATGATGATATTAATGCCTAGAAAGCTTAGGATAAAAAGGGATTTTCATTTTTCTGCATCATTTTCCAAACATAGAACTAAATCAACCAGATATTGGCCTTTCCAACCTTTGTGTTGTCAAAATGAGTTCATAATATTTAATCATTGTTGGTCCTTTATCTAATAAAGGTGGCATTTTAACAGGAGCATGAACTTGGTCATAATCTCTAAGGAAACTATATAATAAGATATTCTGTCTGTCTGTACATTGGACTGGTCTGAAATGTGCAACGGTTTGAGGAAAGCAGATTTCCAGCATCAGAGCGCTAATTTGGTGACGCCCCTACGGTTCAGCATGAACGCACAGACCAGCATCAGCTGAGGCAGAGGCGTCTCGTCATCGTGGGCTGCAGCGAGAGGCCTCGGCGGATCAGGAGGCGGGCCTGGACGCTGCGAGCGGGTCATGGCGAACCGGGTGTTTAAGGGTGGTCTGTTTTCGTGGCGGTGCCGTCGCTGGAGTTGGGGCTCAGGTACTCCAAGGCCTTCTGGCTTTGTGCGACGAACTGTTTGAGCGGCGTGAGCAGCAGCTCGGTGGCGGATGGTCGCCGGAGGGCGTTGCCTTCGGAAGGGTGGGCCGTGCCATCCGTCTCGGGGTTGGACGAATCTTTTGTGCTGGAGCGGCGGCCGTTGGGGGGGTCAGGGCTTTGGGGGCCTCCGGCGGTAAAGGCGTGGGAGTAAAGACTGCGGCGGCGACGTGGACGGCCATCCATGGCCTTTAGGAAGAGGTTGCTAGCTGAGCTACGACGGGATGAGCTCTCTGAAAAATCCTCTTTGTTCAGGAAGTCCTCCACCTCCTGAGGCGTCGACTGTTCCAGCTGAGAAGAAAACAAAACATGGAGGCAACATGAGCGGCGAAGACGCTTTAAATTAGACTCAGGCCTAAACCTGATACTCTGGCTAAACCTCTATTCCTTTAGCTAAACCTTTATCTGATGCGCTTCATGCAGACAGACTCTACAGTAAACTGTTTGCAACTCAGCAGAGAACTACTGGAACTGACAGCTACGCCGGGGAGTTCTGGGGGGAACTCTGGACTTTAAACAAGCGCCCCTCACAGGTTCCCCCCCGTCATCATATCCTTCCCTCCACAGCTTCTGCCCCACAGCAGAGCTAGCTAGCATAGCCACGGAGCAAACGGCTCACTGGTTGCTGCTGGAGGTCAGACACACAGAGAACACAGACATCCACAGGAAGGACATGGATCCTACCAGAACATTCTCACAGCAAGACAAGAGCGCCACCAACAGCTGTTAGGTATATTGATTAAAAAAACAAATAAACTTTATTTTTCCAAAGGGGAGTGGGGGGGGGGGGGGGGGGGGTGCTGGGGTTGGGTGCCCACACCCCCCGCCTGTATCTGCCTCAGCCTTGAAGAAATTAGTTTTGTTGGCCCTCTGCTGGTTCCTCTTGTATGGATGACGGTTCTCACCGGGGTTCTCTGGACTCCCTAAGCTCCTTTAGTTCCAGAATAATCAATGTCTGTTTCTCATCTGTTATTGTGTTTCTATAGATCTGGAATTGATGCGTTGCTTTCTGAAATAGTTGTCCTACTTCATGTTAAACCACAGTGTGTCATTAAAGGAAAATTCCGGTTTTTAACACTTTAAGCCCATTTTCTGTAGTGTCCAGGATGAAATCGAATGATCGACACCAAAATTTTGACGATTGGTCCTGTCTCTGCTATTAGGCTCATGCAGAATCCCCCCCTGGTTGCTTCAGAATGGCTTCCATTGTGCATGTCCGATAATGTCCTTAAAACAACCTTAAACGTTCTTTTTTTAAAATATGCTACTCACCGGGTCGTCAGCGCTGTTCAATGACGTTCCAAAAAAAGTTTCGTGAAGAAAAACCGTTCCTGTAGTGTTTTATTTAGCATTTTGTAAATCCCATTGAGTTCTGTTGGAATAGTCAATATCCCTCCGCCACCGGAAACGGAAATGGGGCCTGTTTACGATTAGTTGTAGTCTTTTCGCAAGGCCCAAGTGTTTCTGCTTCACTCTGTGTACTCCGACGTCGAGGTGCTAACGTCTCTGTTAAACACTTTAAAAAACTCTGAAAATGGAATACGAAAGGTGGATTCTTGAGGAGGACATATTGGACTTTGAGTTTGACGGTAGAGGATACCGTCGCCAACTAGTGGTCTGGAGTGTGCAACGCTTCAGATTCGAACGGGAAGCGGAAGTTTATAAGCGGTTGTGATGTATCGGAAAAAATAGTTCTGGGATTTACAAAATGCTAAATAAAACAAGACAGGAACGGTTTTTCTTCACGAAACTTTTTTGGAACGTCATTGAACAGCGCTGACGACCCGGTGAGTAGCATATTTTAAAAAAAGAACGTTTAAGGTTGTTTTAAGGACATTATCGGACATGCTCTATGGAAGCCATTCTAAAGCAGCCAGGGGGGGATTCTAAATGAGCCAAAAAGCAGAGACAGGACCAATTGACAAAATTTTGGTGTCGATCATTCGATTTCATCCTGGACACGACAGAAAATGGGCTTAAAGTGTTAAAAACCGGAATTTTCCTTTAATGAGGGCCAGCTGGGTTTGGACCATCATTAGTCTGAGACGTGTTTATGAAGTGAATGGCTGCTACTGAATGCAGCTAACGTCTGGTGTGTGCGTGTCAGGCATGTTGCCCCGCCTCTCATGCGTACCATGTTGTAGAGCGGCGTGGTGTTGATCACAAACTGCAGGAGGACCTTGGAGAGCTCCTGCAGGTCTCGGAGCGCCTGCTGGATCTGGACCGGCAGTTCTCGGAGCTGTCGGATCGGACCCAGCTCAGCCAGCATGGCGGCTCGCTCCACCACGCCCCTTATGGTGGCCTCTCTGAGACTCTCTGCCTGGAACAGCAGCGCCACCACCAGGTTCTGGAGGTACTGCAGCAGCTGACCCGTTATCTCTAGGACCCGAGTGAGACCCACCTGCAGGGAACAGAGAGCTCAGGTCAGCTCAGTCACTTTGCTTCTCCTCTTCTTTCAAAGCGCATTTTGGGAAACTTAGTTTAACCTTTAAGTGAAAGCCCTTTGGGAAACTCCTCCAACTCCCATTGTCATTGTGACACAGCACACACAAGTGAACACTGCACACCATGAAATTGCATTTATGCCTCACCCGTGCAAGGGGGCAGCCCTCAATGGCGCCCCAAGGGAGCAGTGTGGCGGGACGGTACCATGCTCAGGGTACCTCAGTCATGGAGGAGGATGGGGGAGAGCGCTGGTTAATTACTCCCCCCACCAACCTGGCGGGTCAGGAGTCGAACCGGTAACCTTTGGGATCCAAGTCTGACACCCTAACCGCTCACCCACGGTTTAAGAAAAACCTTTAGAGAACAAATTCATCATTTATGATGATTCCCGTCTTTAATGTTTCTCCCTTAAAAATCTATATCTAGTTCTATCATTTGTGTTTTTGCTGCCAATCAAACATTCGATTTAAAAAAGGGGATTTATTTTATATCAGCTTTCAAATTTTGTTGATGAAGCTAATTAGCGACATAAAATGCGTTTTACTCAGAAATGACAAATTCTATAAACCAACAATATTTTTATTCATTTTTCTTTACTTTAAATTTATCTAATTAGTGGAAAGTTGATGCGTTGCTCCGTCCGAGGAAATGCTAAGGTATTTATCTTTTTTTTTTAAACTTGTGTTGGAAAATGAACAGTGTTAGAAATAAATCTATTAGTGTTTTTTTTCAGCAATAATTATGTTTTGAATCATTAAAGTTTTTTATAATTTGGTAAAATAATGTAAATTAATTTTCCTGCACTTTCATATTAGCGGCTATAAGAAATCAGTGTTTTTTTTACATCCACAGTTTTAAATTCCAGTGAATAATTTAATTAATTATTAGTTCATCATAAATTTTGTCAAAACTTTGTTTTCATTAGTTTCCAATTTTTATAATAAAAACAAACAATTTTTTTACTGACTATAGATAGTAATAATTTCTATCCAAAAAGTTTTAAACCCCAAATCAAAAATAACTTTCAGACTTTTTGTCAGATTTTCTGTTTAATACATCAGTTCTAAAAATCATTAATAAACCTGTTTTTATTTTTCTAATCGTTTTGCTCCTACATGAATCATGTTTAATTCTCACTTCCGTCAGATAAATGAAATAAAAGCTGTTTCATTAAAACATGAACGCAGGGCCGGATTTACCATTAAGCAATACTAGACAGCTGCCCAAGTTCCTGGGGGCCCCATAAAACTCTGTTTCCATGTGTGTTTAATACAACTATTCCTTATTTCTGCACATTAATTATGTTTTTGATAAAAATCCTTTTGCTAAAATGCCATCAGAACGCTGATAATATTAAGTGTGTCTCAGCCCCCCCTTCAGTGTCCACCACATTGGATCAGTCCATCTGCTGCACATGTTCAGAAAGGTCCAAACAGACAGCAGCAAACCATTTGAAAACAAACCATGCAAAGAGCAGTGTTGCCAACTTAGCGCTTTAGTCGCTATATTTAGCCACTTTTCAGACCCCTCTAGCACTTTGATTTCTAAAAAGCTCCTAGCGCCAAATCTAGAGACTTTTTTCTGCTACTGGAGACTTTGGAGACAACATCTAAAAGCAGCGAACTCTGCTCTCCAGAGCGAGTAGATTGGTAACCCCGCCTCCTGCTCTCCTCTATCTTGTCTGCTGTCATGATTCATGCAGCTATTATTTCATCCAAATGAAAAATGGAGAACAGATAAGCAGATCATGGCTTGTCTACAGTGAAAAGAAGGACTGGGTTATTTACTTTGGCCTTTTTGGAAACACAGGAAGGAGCAATCAGCTAAGTGAGCTTAGTGCTTGGAAAAAATCTTTCATTCCTTTAGAGACAGCATGAAAAGTCAGCTGAGTACAAAACATAGAGAGGAAAACAAGAAGAAAAGGGACAAGAAGAGAGGGACACAACCTAGAACAGATAATGGATGTCTATTCTATTAACATTTCTCTATCTGAAGAATGGGGCTGTTTGATGTGATGTCTTCTACAGTCAGAGGGGCCCCTGCCTGTCTTTGCCCAGGGCCCCACATCTTCTAAATCCGCCCCTGCATGAACATACCAATGTTCATGTTCTAATTAGCGTCTTGTTTCCAGGGGGGTGGAACTATATTCTAATTGACTGACTGATTGTTGCTGCAGCGGCGCTCCTTAAATCCTGTGATAGAAGATCTTCTTCTATAGATTCTATGGATTCAGGATTCCATGTTTTCCGTCTCGTTTCCTTTCAGAGCAGAAATCTAACTTTTCCTCCGATCTGCTCTCATCTATTCCACCAGATCAGAAGCAGCAGGGAGGTGAATCTGGCTCAGGATCTTCACATCAGCTGTAAACAGTTTATCTGATGAACCAGTCTGATCTGAGGCCAACTGGCAGCTGCCGAAGTTTCCCAGGAGGAGAAGATCTGGACGGAGACCAAGTCCCAGCCAGCAGCCCACGTGAGAACAGCGGAGGACAAAACGCCACGGGACGCTGAGTTTAGGGACATGGAGAACAATACGTTCCTTTTGTCATGAAAGTCCAGGAATGAAGCTAGAAACCGTTCCTGACAGAAACGGCATCCAGTTAACGAGGAAAACAAACTGTTCAGCTTAGCTCCTAAATGAACAACAAGTCCTTCATCTCATCGCTGAAACATTTCAGAGTGAAAAGAGAAACGGAACATCTGAAAACATCGTTCTTCAGAGAACTGAACTAAGACAACAGACTCCTGAACAGAGAAAACTAAGGTAGACATGTTTGGGTGAAAGCATCTGGAGGAATGTTAGCGAACAATGATCCAAAGCTTATCTTCAGAAATGAAACTGAGATGTTCAAACCAACGTCCAGATCTCTGAAATCTCCATTAAGCCTAAAACTCCACAGGTTCCTCAGGAAGGAGGCTCTCCACGCTAATAAAAGGTTCTGAGGCGTCTGGAGGAAGGATCTGCTAAAGGAGGTTCTATGAGATGCTGGAGGAGAGTTCTGCAGAGGAAAGGAGAAACGATCTATAGCTCCAATTCTATTCAGTTTATTTCTATAGCTCCAATTCACATCATGTCATCTCAGGTCACTTTATAGATCCAGATCAACCAGATCATCCAGTCAGATTGATTCAAAGTTTTCTATCTAAGGAAAACAAGCTGATTGCATCGACTCATTGACTCTTCAGCAATCCCCCACACTAAGCATGCTTGTAGCGACAGTGGAGAGGAAAAACTCCCTTTGAACAGGAAGAAACCTCCAGCAGAACCAGGCTCAGTGTGAGCGGCCATCTGCTGAGGCCCACTGGGGTTTGAATAAATAGATGACTGAGAGGAACTGACTGTAACTGATTCAGGTGTGTTTCACCAAGGATGGATCTAAAAGTTGCAGGATAGCGGCCCCCAGGACGTGGAATTGCTGACCCCTGATCTATAAGCTTTTGAAAAAAGGTTCTAGTCGTTATTGGAGAAAGGTCTTCTAGAAACAGGATCTACGGTGTGCTAGGAAGAGGTTCTACCAGCTGCTGGATCTAATGCTGAACTTCTCAGTGTTTCATGTTTCCTCCTGGAATGAAGCTGATGTTGTTTGTTGGGAAATAATCCCAAAGCTTCAGTGAAGCCATGAAGTGAGATGTTCATCTGTTCTCTAAGGGGAACCTGCTCCTGTCTCCGTCCTCAGAAACTCCTCACGCTCTCCTCGGATATTTGGGCCGTGACCTCTGACCTGCTGGCACACAGGGGGACCGACACGTGATGAAACAAAGAGGGTCTAAGGTCCTCATTAGTGGCAGCGAACAGGAACCTGCTGTTCATCCTCTGCAGAAACGTGACCAGATGGATGCAGAGCAGAGCTGACAGCCCTGTTTGTTCTAATGTGATCCTCTCAGGTCAGGGAGAAGATCCAGACGACCTCCATCAGATTGTTCTAAAGTGATCCTCTCAGGTCAGGGAGAAGATCCAGACGACCTCCATCAGATTGTTCTAAAGTGATCCTCTCAGGTCAGGGAGAAGATCCAGACGACCTCCATCAGATTGTTCTAAAGTGATCCTCTCAGGTCAGGGAGAAGATCCAGACGACCTCCATCAGATTGTTCTAAAGTGATCCTCTCAGGTCAGGGAGAAGATCCAGACGACCTCCATCAGATTGTTCTAATGTGATCCTCTCAGGTCAGGGAGAAGATCCAGACGACCTCCATCAGATTGTTCTAATGTGATCCTCTCAGGTCAGGGAGAAGATCCAGACGACCTCCATCAGATTGTTCTAATGTGATCCTCTCAGGTCAGGGAGAAGATCCAGACGACCTCCATCAGATTGTTCTAAAGTGATCCTCTCAGGTCAGGGAGAAGATCCAGACGACCTCCATCAGATTGTTCTAAAGTGATCCTCTCAGGTCAGGGAGAAGATCCAGACGACCTCCATCAGATTGTTCTAATGTGATCCTCTCAGGTCAGGGAGAAGATCCAGACGACCTCCATCAGATTGTTCTAATGTGATCCTCTCAGGTCAGGGAGAAGATCCAGACGACCTCCATCAGATTGTTCTAATGTGATCCTCTCAGGTCAGGGAGAAGATCCAGACGACCTCCATCAGATTGTTCTAATGTGATCCTCTCAGGTCAGGGAGAAGATCCAGACGACCTCCATCAGATTGTTCTAATGTGATCCTCTCAGGTCAGGGAGAAGATCCAGACGACCTCCATCAGATTGTTCTAATGTGATCCTCTCAGGTCAGGGAGAAGATCCAGACGACCTCCATCAGTTTGTTCTAATGTGATCCTCTCAGGTCAGGGAGAAGATCCAGACGACCTCCATCAGATTGTTCTAATGTGATCCTCTCAGGTCAGGGAGAAGATCCAGACGACCTCCATCAGTTTGTTCTAATGTGATCCTCTCAGGTCAGGGAGAAGATCCAGACGACCTCCATCAGAACAGAAGCTATGCGCCTGTTTATGTCCGTGT